TTGATGTAAAATTTCAAGTGTAAAAAAGTGGTTTCATGGGTCTCACAAAAACAAGATGGTCTCAAGTGATCCAAAGTGTGTGTGTACATATATATATACTAGAAGAGTACTCGAGCAATGCAACGATTTATATTTAGTTTTTATTGATATAATGTGATTTTATGTGTTTTGAGAAAACAATAATGTTTTTATTTTTGAATGTAATATATATATATTTGAAGATAACATAAAAAATTTGAAAAAAATAAATCGATATTAATATCAAATTAACTATTTAATAATACCCGTTTTTTTGTATAACTTTTTTAATTCAATTTTTTATTATAATTTAATTTAGATTTAATAACAAAATAATTTATTTTTGATTTAATAATATAATTTTTTTTATAAAGATAATAATTAAATACATTGTTAAAACTCAATTGAATATCTTAATTATATCTTATTTTTTTATATATTTAAAATGAATGTTTATCCTGTATTTGATTATGTTTATCTGCAGTTAGTTAAACGAATTTAAAAATGAAGTTTTAATAATTTGTACTTACGCAAAATTATTTGTAATCTTAAATTTTTAAGTAATATGCATCAATAAACAGTACTTCATGCATAAAAAATGGTTTTTAAGAGTTTTTGTGAAATGTTTTATAATATAGTGTGTATATATAATAGTGAATAATATTTTATCCCGATTATGTAGTTGTTATGTTTTTTTGATGTCGATTGTTCAATTTTTTTTTTATCTTTTTTCAATGTCGACTATTTGTTTTTTTATGTCTATTTTATATTTGATAAGATTTTTTTATTAACCTGGATATCTAACCCGCTATACGAGCCAACTAATCTCAGAGCGACCACCTGGTAGCCTAAAGTCACCACATTTGAACCTCCATGGCCACAAAATAGATCTTTATTCCTCATTCGATTTGAACCTGAGACGTCCATACTCTTTTGACCTTTAAAATCCAAACTCAAACCAATAAGACACCATCATTGTAATTTAAGATTTTTATGTTTCATGCTCCAATCATTACATTTCACATTTATTTAAGATGTGTAAATAACAAAAATTAATAAATTGGTTTGTTGTTGAAAATTAAATTGGGACAAGTTGATTTTTGTTGTTATTAGGCAAAGCTTTGGGATTTAATCAAATCTCAAATGGACCACACATGATTCAATAACACAACATGTACCACATTCTATTTGTTTTTATTTTTATTTTTCTAAATGGCCAATCAATCAAATTTTGTACTATTTTTATTCACAATAATAAACAATTTTAGAAATATATCAGTTTTAAGTGTCATAATAGATTATTTTATAGGACATGAAATTAAAGTGTCATATCTAAAGACGTTGTAATAAGTTTATAGAATGTTTTTTGACGTCTTAACAATTTTCTAATGACATTTTTATATAAAACGTCTTAACAATTTTATAGAACACTATTTGAAAAAAATATCCTATAAAAAGATGAGTTTATAGGACATTTTTATTTATTTATAAAATTGCTAATGCAACCGATCTATATTAAAAAAAAAAATAATTTTTTTAAGACGTCCAAAAACATCCTATCAATTTGTTACAATGTCTGTAGATATGACGCTTTACATTTTGGTCCTATAAATTAAGTCCTATAAATTAAGTCCTATAAATTGGTATATTAGGATGTTTAAAGATTGATGACATTCTATAAATCCAATTTTGTTGTATTGTATAATTAATAAACCTTTTAATTAACAAAAGTACAATTTCACTCTTAATTATAAGAAAAATTTTCTCCACCTCATAATAATAAGTAGAATTATAAAGCAGACATTTATTTTTGAATATGGACATATATTTTGGTTCAAACTAAAACAAGAATAATAATTTAGGCATTTATTTTATGATATATTTATTACTAAATTTAAATTTTTTGAACTAAAGATTGAAAATAAACTTATAATATAAATCAAATAACTCAAAACCTATCTTAGAAAAAAAAATATGCATTAAATTAAAAACTAACCCAATAAAGCAAAGCATGCATCTATTTTATTAAAAAATAAGTACCAAATATATGATAATTATATCAATAAATAACTAGAATGGTACTCGCGTAATGCAGCGAGATACATTTTTGTTTTATTGTATTTATTATTTATTTTTTGTTTCTGTTGATATAAATTTTATTAAAAAATAAGTACCAAATATATGATAATTATATCAATAAATAATGCACATGTCTGTCTCTATTATCTGATAAGGTTTACAAGACGCGTAAAATGTTTATGCGTCATGACGGAATACTTTATATGATTTAAATTTATAAAACCATTGAAAAAAAACGTTCTATTTAAAAGCATTACAATATGTTTATATGACACTTTTGAGTGTTTTAACAAGTTTTTAGAAAATGTTTTTTTAACAAAGTGTCGAATTAGTTATTTTATGCTATGCTATTTGAAAAATGTTTTATAACAGTACGAGTTTATAGGATACTTCTCAAAAGTGTTTTATAAAATATTATTTAAAAATATCTTAACTTTTTTGTTAAAACACCTAAAAGTGTCTTGTACACTTATTGGTTCTATAAACTTAAAACCTATAAAATATGTTATTAAGACGTTTAAATATTTTAAACGTCTTATAAGCCTATTTTTATATTATATAACGATAAAAATTTCTAAGTTTATTTACTTGATATTTTCTTTTAAAATGTACAAATATAAAACAAAAAGTCAAACAACTTATATTATTTTATTATTTTTGATTAAAACTTAAATTTGAGATTTATTTTTCTTCTAGCAAGGAATTACATTATTATTTTTTATTATTAGTTTACAATATAAAAAAAATTACATATATGAGTTAGAGTTGTTTATGAACGAGACGACCCGTTAGACCTGACCCATCTGACCTGCTAGAAATACGGGATTGGACAACCATTATCGAGAAAATGGAAAGACCCGGATTTGTTCGTTAAAATTAACGGGCGGAGATGAACAATGTAAAAATATGTATGGAGAGGCTCTCCCGGCCGTGAACAGCTCTAAGTTATATATGTAATTTATAGGATGCGACTCTTTGGTTATTCTTGAGAATCCAAAAAACTAAGGAATTGTTTGTTTACCTCTTAATGTGAATATTAATGTTATACATAAAAATTATGAATGTATTATTGATTTTATGGAAGTCTGAATTTTGTTTTCCATTTCTTTCTCCACTTGTTGAGATCCATATGTTACTTTAATTGCTTAAAATTTTAATTGCGACATTGTTTTTCCTTTACTTTTTAGTTTCACATTTGTTGATTAATTGTTAGTGATCAAGTTTATAAATTTATAAGAGTTACACTTTTTAAGACTGTTAGCCCGTGGGTAAGCCTGACCCGTTTATAGGGAGCGCAATGACAAGTTGTCAAGCCCGAAAAAAATGACTCGAGTTTATAATATTAGACCCGTTGGACAAAAAAAAAAGTTAGATCCGACTCATGGCAAATGATTAATAATATTTGGTAAGCTTTGTTGTATTTTGTATATCATGGACATAAATCCCAGCATACGACATTTATGTCGTTTAAACAGGAGGCCTAATTATCTGTCGTTTCTCTTCCATCTACGACAGTTCTCTTTGCCGATCGGTCATGATTACTCCAAATCCAACTGTCGTTTCTCTTCCATCTACRACAGTTCTCTTTGCCGATCGGTCATGATTACTCCAAATCCAATTTTAATCGATTACAACTATTTTTTTGAAGATGACCCAAATTTAATTCTATATTTAACAAAAAGGTTATTTATTGAAGTGATAATATTTATGTCAAGTATATTTTTAAACAAAAAATAAATTAAGGAAACTAATTATATTTTCGTTTCCTTATACTTATCTTAATTTATTTATGTAAGGTAAATATAAGTTAAAAATATATCTAATCTTATAGATTTTATTAATTAGTTTTATCCGATATAATAATTTTTAATCTTTAGTTTTAAGATATTTGTATAAATAGTATATATAGTATGTAGTTAATTGAGTTTGCCAAATTCTTTTTAATATACTAAAAGAGTATTTGCGCAATGCAGCGAGACATATTTCGATTTAATGTTTTATTTTATTATTTGTTTTTGTCGATGTTAAAATACGATTTTATGTGTTTTTAAGAAATCAATAATGACTTTATTTTTAAATAAAATATAAATTTGAAAAAAAAACATATCAATTTAATATCAAATCAACTATTTAAAAGTTTTCATTTTTATGTAGTTTTTTTAATTTATTTTTTTATTATAATTTAATTTAATTTTATAACGAAATAATTTATTTTTGGTTTAATAATATAACATTTTATAAATATAGTAATTAAGTATTCTGTTAGAACTCAATGATTATCGTAATTATATTTTAGATTTTTTATATTTAAAATGATATGTTTATCCTGTATTTGATTATGATTATTTGCAGTTAGTTACACGAATTCAGATATAGAGTTTTAATAAGTTGTACTTATACACAATCTACTTGCAATCTTGAGTTTTAAGTAATATGTATAAATAAACAGTACTTTACGCTTAAAAAGTGGTTTTTAAGAGTTTTTGTCAAATACTTTATAATACAGTATATATATATATATGTAATAGATTGAGAACGTTTTTCTTTAAAAGAGTTTTTTCATAGATGAAAGAAGTGTGTATTTTTGTTTGGCATAAATGTACTTAAAAAAAACTTGTCTTTCTACATAAAAACTTATTGTAAAACTTGTTAAATAAGTTACTTTTTATATCATTAAACTGATATAAAATAATCATATATGAAAAAGAAAAATAGATTATAAATCATAAAAATAAAAACCAAATTTAAAAAAGAAATGGGATAAATTCGTAATCTAGTCTTGTTTTAGATTCATCAGAATATATGGTAATACGTTAAGAATGAAGTCACGTGAATTTCTTATGGCCTTACAAACACTATATATACATATCATCCCTTCACATATCACCACAAACAATACAACCATGGCTTCTCTCGTTATCCTTTCGTCTTCCCTCCTCTGCCTCTTCTTCATCACCCCTCTCGCCGCCGGCAGCGGCGGCGGTACTTGGTCTCTCCTCCAACCATCCATCGGCATCTCCGCCATGCACATGCAACTCCTCCCCACCGACCGTGTCATCATATACGACCGCACTGACTTTGGTGCTTCCAACATCTTCCTTCCCAACGGAACATGTCGAAAGGATCCAAAAGACATTGTTTTGAAGAACGACTGTACTGCTCATTCTGTTGAATACGACGTCGCTTCCAATTCTATTCGACCGCTTATGGTCCTTACTGACGTTTGGTGTTCCTCCGGTGGATTAACGCCGGATGGCAGCCTGGTTCAGACCGGCGGGTTTAATGATGGTGATCATGTTGTTAGAGTTTTTAATAACTCATGTGGTAAATGTGATTGGGTAGAGATACCATTTGGGTTGGCTCAACGGAGGTGGTATGCTACTAATCATGTATTGCCGGACGGTCGGCAGATTATTATCGGTGGTCGCCGGCAGTTTAACTATGAGTTCTACCCCAAGGCGTCGCCGTCGGAGAAATCTTACAGTTTGCCGTTTTTATTACAGACATCTGATCCAAAAATCGAGAATAATTTATACCCTTTTGTGTTTCTGAACGTCGATGGCAATTTATTTGTTTATGCAAATAATCGTGCTATTTTATTCGATTATAAACTGAACAAAGTTCTGAAAATGTACCCTGGAATTCCCGGCGGCGAACCCAGGAATTATCCAAGCACCGGCTCCGCCGTACTGCTGCCGTTGCGTGTAGTACAAGGGACGGTGGCGGTGGTGGAGGTTTTGGTTTGTGGGGGTGCACCTAAGGGATCATTTCTGAATGCTCAAAATGGGAGATTTGATGGAGCTTTGAATACTTGTGGTCGGATTAAAATATCCGACCCGGTGCCAAACTGGGTCATGGAAACTATGCCAATGGGTCGGGTCATGGGTGATATGTTATTGCTACCAAATGGTGACGTTTTGATTATTAATGGTGGATTGAACGGGACAGCAGGGTGGGAGTTTGGAAGAAACCCGGTTTTTAACCCGGTAATTTACCGACCCGATAATCCGCTTACGTCTCGTTTTGAGATACAAAATCCCACCACAGTGCCTAGAATGTATCATTCGACTGCTGTTTTACTCCGAGATGGTAGAATTTTGGTCGGTGGAAGTAACCCTCACCAATACTATAATTTCACAAACGTACTTTTCCCGACTGATTTGAGCTTGGAGTCGTTTTCACCATCATATTTGGATGCAAACTCATCCGGGCTTCGACCCACGATAATTTCGCCCGCAACCCAAACAAATATCCAATACAACCAACAAATCGTGATCCGGTTCACAGTTCCCAACACGGTGAATCTAAACCGAATATCAGTAACATTGGTGGCACCTTCGTTTAACACGCACTCGTTTTCAATGAACCAGAGGCTGGTGGTTCTGGATGGTGGCACCACCACCAAGGTCATCGGAGAATCTACGACATACCAAGTTAAGACGATGGCACCGTCGTCGAACAACATTGCGCCGGCAGGATATTATATGCTATTTGTGGTACATCAAGAAGTCCCAAGTGAAGGCATTTGGATTAAGATTCATTAAGACACCATGGGAGATAGATACAATACAATACAATACATTCATGTATTTATTTAATTAGTTTGGTTTTAACACTTGAATTATATTTATACATTTATTTTAGATGATAAAATCCATTTTATTATGAGTAATTTTGAAGTTTGTGGTATCAGATAAATTAAATGATAGATCGAATCGAATGATTGTAAAGATTCCTTAAACGATAGATCTGAATTGCTAATTGAATTACAGTATCTACAAAACAAAGCACTATCATTAAGAAATAAAACCGTCGCTAATCCGTCGGTAAAAGTGCGTCGGAAAATACAATGTGGGAAAAGGTATCAGCAACGGCTGTCAATGACCGCCACTCCGACAGATTTACCGACGGCCATCATCACTTACCAACGGCTACCTTTCCGACAGATTACCGATGGATTTTCGACGGAATACAAATTTGTTGGGTGATTTGCGACGGATTACCGACAGATATTTAATTTTTTTTTAAATTTCATTTTTAATTATTAAATCCGTCGGAATTCCATCGCAAATCACCGGCGGATTTGCATTCCGTCAGTATTTTCTTATTGTAAATCGTCGGTGATCCATCGCAAATCCGTCGGTGATTTCCTACGAAATAAATCTGTCGCTAACACCGTCGGTGATAATCAATTTTTTACTAGTGAGTTTGAAGACGTTTAAATATCTCAATAGTATGGTTTGAAAAATAGCAAGTAGTAGGGATGGAATTGTAATACATTTATAAGAAGAGTTTACAAGTTGTCTGTCATGGCAATGTAGATCAAAAGCATCGTTAAGCGTCTTGTTAGCAGTTTAATGGGACTCACAGCTTGTTCGGTCAGCTCAGGGTGTGAAGGAGCCGAGTCAAGTAATAGGTTATTCGATCTCGGCTTGAAAAAATTATACCAGGCTCAAGCTCAACTCGAACTCGAATAACTTTTTCAAAGCTGGGTTATAGCTCGAGCTCGAATATTTTTTGAGTTATCTAGCTCGAGTTTGATGCTAGTTTACGAGCTCGTACTCGCGATTGATTAACTCGTTTATTGGCTCGAGGTTTAATAAATTTTATATTTTTATTATAACTATTTATAAGCATATGAGCATGTTCGACTCGTAAAAGTATATATGCTCGAAAAACTTTAATCAAGCTTTAGAACGAGCTGAGCCGAACATTGGTTTTATAAAGCTCGAGCTCGTTAATTTCAGACGAGTTCTATTTTGTGTTCGAGATCGACTCGACCTCGAGAATTATTAAGTTTGAGCTCGAGTAGCTCATTGAAAGCTCAACTCGTTTACACCCCTAGATCAGATATACATGACTATTTGGTAGTGGCTTGATGATATATAAATTGGTTTTTTCAATAGGTTTCTAGAGGAAACTTTATGCAGAAAGTCAAGTTTCTTCCAAAGCTGCATTTTCCAATTAAAAAACACGCTCTTTCTACCTAAAAAAAAAACTCTCTCAAACAAAAGTCTTTCCAATCTATATAGACAGATAAATCCACATAGACAACTTTATCCATACAAGACTTAGGGTATGTTTGATGACAACTTAATAAGACTTACACATTATTCAGTCAGCTATACATGACTTTTCGGTAGTTGTGTATTGAAATAGAAAGTGACTTATTCATTAAACTTCTTGGAGGAAGTTTTATGCTCAAAGCCAAGTTTTTTTTTCTTCTCCAAACCAACTATTTCCAATTAAAAAACACACTCATTCCATTTATTAAACCCCCTTAAACAAAAATCTTTTTAATCTATACAGATATATTAATCCACATATATAGAGAGAGTTTTAGCAACAAACATCGGGTTTATCAATATCAAATTGGGTCCAAATAAACATAGCTCAATTCCAACTCAATACATACAGTTGAAAGATTTTACAACTCTGTAAGGCATCAAATGGCTTCAAGTTGGTCTGGTTTTTTTGCACTACAGTGACACTAGATCTTAAACTAAGTGCTAAATTTGACACTAAAGTGGCGTTTGTTTTTTAAGAGGTTTTGAAGTCTGAAGTCTGATTTCACTTTTGAATTTTAAGAGGTGGTACTGAAGTCTGAAATCTGAATCAGTCAGACTGTTTGTTTTTACGTCTTAAATCTGAAATCTGAATCAGTCAAGTTTCTGATCTGATAGATTTGGATCGATCTGGGTCATGATTTTACGAGAATATGTGGATCGATCTGGGTCGTGATTGATTTGGAGATCGAATGTCTTGCGAGATAGATTTGGAGGACTAAATCTGGAGGTGAGGATGGAGGGGAGAGTCTGGAGGGAGTGATTAAGAGGATTTAAGTGATTATGTTATCACTTTTTTTTCAGAGCAAATTAAGAGCTTTTCAGCTCTTATTTATATAAAAAAACAAACAGTCTGAAAATAAAAACGTCTGACCGGTTCAGACTTAAAAGGCTTTAAGTGGTTTTTTTCAAAAAACAAACAAAGCCCTAAATCACTCCAATGATTACACCAAATTTGGTATAACAATATTCATTTACATTGAATTCTAAATCATTATAAAAGTTAAACAAGAATATACCAAGAATCTTATGTTTTAATGTAAGATTTCGTGTTATTTTTTTAAAGTTACATTTCAAAAAAGCCGTGGAATAGCCCAAACACCCAAAGTTTGATATGGTCTGAATAAATTTGTACTTCGTGGTTGTTTGTTTAACTCTTAATAGTTCTATTAAGAGGCAACATCTGAATCGTTAAGAGATGAATCTTGTTTGGTAAAAAAAGACTCTCTCTTAATGGTTCTAAAACATTCTGAATGATTTTGTATCATGAATCTCCCTTAACCATTAAGAGTCCTGATTTCATTGTACACAATTACCAAACAATTATATTTCATTTTGCATTATATCATGATAGCCTCTTAATCATTCTGTATCAAACCATTCAACAATTGACAAACAACCCATTCATATATAATTTCCCATTGATTAAAATATTATATAAAAATAAATATACACGTGGATACAATTTTCAATGTCTTCCAAAGAATAACCCCAAACTTTATGGGTTGCCTAAAAAACAAGCAATCGAATCTTAATTACGAATGTTTGGTCACTCCACGTGAATCCAAACACCTTCACTTGGTATGTCTTGATGTACCACAAACAGTAGATAATATCCCGTCGGTGCTATCTCGCCGGAAGGCGGCGCCGTCACACCCACTTCGTACTTCAATCTTCCGACAACCTTGGTGCCATTGCTACCCTCAAGAACCAACAACCTTTGATTCATCGAAAACGAGTGTGTGTTAAACGAAGGTGACACCATCGTCACCGAGACTGAGTTCCGGTCCAACTGGTCTTGGACCGTGAACTGTATTACGACCTTTTTTCCATATTGGATACGGGTCATGGTCGAAAGTATCTTTGGGCGAAGTCCATTTGCGGTCGGATCCAAATAAGAAGGGGAAAACGCCTCTAAACTTAATTCAGTAGGATAAAGTACATTTGTGAAATTGTAACATTCATGAGGGTTACTACCGCCAACGAGAACACGTCCGTCTCGAACCAAAACCGCCGTCGAATGGTACATTCGTGGTACGGTGCTCGGGTTTTGCACTTCGAACCGAGACCCGATTGGGTAATTCAGTTTGTAAATTACGGGTTCAAGAACCGGATCTCTCCCATTTTCCCACCCGGCGGTCCCACTTGACCCACCGTTGATCAACAGTACATCACCGTTCGGAAGCAACAACATGTCACCCATTACCCGACCCATGGGCATGGACTCCATGACCCATTCAGGATTCGGGTCGGATATTTTAATCCGACCGCAAGTGTTCAAAGCTCCATCAAATTTCCCGTTTTTAGCGTTAAGATGGGCTCCTTTGGGTGCACCCCCACAGACCATAACTTCAACCACAGCTACAATCCCTTGTACTATCCGCAATGGAAGTAGTACCGCAGATCCGGTGCTCGGGTAATTCCGTGGGTCGCCACCGGGTACTTGCGGGTACGTTTTGAGAACTTGGTTCATCGAGTAGTCAAATAAAATGGCTCGATTGTTCGCAAAGATGAATAAATTGCCATCGGTATGAAGAAATACAAATGGGTATAGATTATTCTCGATTTGTTGATCATATGTTTGAACTAGAAATGGCAAGCTTCGAGCTTTCTCTGACGATGATCTTTTCGGGTAGAATTCGTAGTTAAACTGCCGCCGGCCGCCGATAATTATCTGGCGGCCGTCCGGCAGTATATGACTTGTAGCATACCATCTTCTTTGAATCAACCCGAATGGGATCTCTTGCCAATCGCATTTATCACAAGATCTATAAACTCGAACGACATGATCACCGTCATTGAATCCGCCGGTCTGGACTAAGCTGCCGTCCGGAGCTAGAGATCCTGCAGAACACCAAACGTCGGTGAGAACAGTGAGGGGGCGGATGGAGTTGGCGGAGACGTCGTACTCGACGGAGTGGGCGGTGCAGTCGAGTTTCAAAGCCATGTCGTTTTGATCCGTGCGGCATTTGCCGTCGGCAAGGGAGATGTTTGAGGCGCCAAAGTCTGTGCGATCAAAGATTACGAGACGGTCGTTAGGGAGGAGCTGCATGTGCATGGCGGTGATGCCGATGGCTGGGAGGAGGAGGGACCAGTGGCCGCCGGCAGCGGAGGACGGTGGGAGATGGTGGAGGATGAGGATGAGGAAGAGAAGGAGGTGAAAGGAAATGTCGGAAGGTGAAAGAGTCATGAGGTTTGTTTTTGGGAAGTGGCGACGGTGGAGGTGGTGGAAATGGGTGGTGGTTGGCAGCTATAAATCACCTTAAGCGGTGGCGGTGGTGGAAATGGGCGGTGGTTGGCGGCTATAAATGATAGGTGAGGGTGGAAGTAATGAAGTGCACATGCAGATTTAGGCCCATTGTTTTGCAGTAGCAAAAAATATTCACGAATTTGAATATTTATGTGAAAACAAATTAATATAAGCTTATTTTTGTATTATTAATAAATAAGTTTAAGTAATTTAATTGAAAAATAAATTTAAATAAAAGCCAATAAAGAAATCGAATTTTATTGGCTCATCAATGTATTATATTTTAGAAAACGTTCAATGATGGCGAATTTATATCCCACAATAAATGCCATTTATTTAAACAGAAATAATTTAACATAAATAGTGAATAAATGTGTGAATTTTACTAACATGGCAAATTTGTATTTTTATATTTCATAACTTAATAATTGACTTTAAGGGGTCTTTTACCAAACATTTAACCGGTAAAATTTTATCGGTAAATTCAATATTATCATTTATTTATCTGGTAAGATTTTAGTTCAAGAAAACGACATTGTATGTAACAATTTACCTGGTAAGCGCTTACCATGGTAAGAGTCATCGCCCTCACTTACCGGGTAAGACTCTTTTTCTTACCTCGCTCTTACCGGATGAATGCGGTAAGGTAATGTGACTTGGTAAGATCTTACCCAAATATGAGTTTGGTAAACGACCCCTAAGTTTCCGTTTTTTTCTCGATCTAATTGAAAAATATAATATGAAATTAATATAAAATCACAAATATACGTTCGATTTGCGTTATGAAAAGGAGAGAGTCGATCAAGATCACATACTCGGCCGATACGATCCTCGGTTCTTTGTACAACCTTCACCAGAAGAGTTAGATTATTTAGTATGCATTTGGGACTAGACGTACAAGATTGAACATATGAGAGTAAGGTAAACGAATGAAAAAATTGTGGAAGATTTTAGGATTGTAATTTAACATGTATAGTTTGTTAATTTTTCAATCTTGTAAAGTATTCCTGATTTTTGTTCCATCTATTTTGGTATAGTCCAAAAAATGCATTTTTGTCCTACTTAGTTAGAAGGGTATTAAGAAAAACCCGAAAACCGACCCAAACTTTTGATCCAAAACCGAAAAATTGAAAACTAAAAAACCGTGTATTCATGGGTCGCTTTCGGTTTTGAATTTTAGGTGCCTGCGAATTCCCAACCATATATATTAAAATTGAAATATTATTATTTCTTTATTTATTAACCCAAAGTCTTTTTAATTTTTGGTGTCAAATATTATGTTGATGAAATTTGGTAGTATGAAATACCGAAGAAGTCGACATTAACCTCAAAAAATGTTTTTAAACAATTAAACTTATTTTAATTTATAGCATTTTGATATTTTTTATTTAGGTTTTTTGTAATTGTTCTAAATGTTATATTTTGATACCTTTTTTATATTGTAAATGGTATTTTTTTTAATAAATTCTGGTAACAACGAACCGAACTAGGGGTAACCGTCTTATTTTGGTTATGTGTGGTTCGGTTCAACTTATGGTTTGGTAGCTAGGTATCAATTCAATTGCTTAATACTAGTAAGTTGATAGTTTGAAAAAAAAATGCATTTAAAAATCCTCAATTCCTTCATTTCAGCAACTACATACATACAAGTATAATCCTTAGAATCACAAATTAGTCTCCAAATTTGGACACAAAGTTTGATTACCGATAATCATAACCGGCCCTACACGGAAGCCGCCTCCAAGGACACCAACATGAGGAGACATTTTTTGACTCATTCAGTGGTTGAGGCTAGCAGGGGAGTCGAGGATCAAACCCATGACCTGTGTTGTATCTGGCAAAGTCATCTCATCCCTTTGCCAACTGAGCTATACATGCTAGAGGCAATTAGTCTGCAAATTACATCAAAAGTTGGGTAGAGTTTATAATTTTCCTTTTCTCCTCTATCAATTTGTCAACCTGACTATTTGCCTGTTGAGGGAGGTTGCAGGGAGGGGATTGTGATGGCAAAGTTGCTGATCTTGCTAGGAACTTGGTTTGGTTTCCATCTGCAAAACAATACAGCGATTCGATACACTCTTCTAATGCAGATAAAGGCCGATTTGGTTTAAAATCCAGCAGCTTCGCGTACTCGACGATCAGATGATACATGTAATCATATATTCTATCAATGTTCAACCTCTCCATGAAATCTTGCACCGATTTCCCTATTGCTTCCGCCTGTTACCCCAAAACACGAAACAAAAATGACCCAACTGAAACGATAATAAAATCAGCTAAATCATACCAAATAAACCCAGTAAACCCCACTAGGGTCTAAAAGTAGGATGTATGCAGACATTATCTCTACTCCAAGGAGTAGAGAGACTGTTTTGGTGAAGACAAATGAAACGAAGATAGAAACACTAGAAATATGAAAAACTAGAAATATGAAACTTGACCTTGGCTGGATGTTTATTTCCCCACTCAACTGCAGTTTTAACGGATGGACATATGTTATCAGGGGAGATAGGTAAGTAGTCTTTCTTTGGAAAGAGTCCACGGCTGAAGAAATCGTCGTACTTTGGGTTGATTATAAGAGGAACACAACCACATGACAAGATATATTTTAAGCTTACAGACCAAGCATATCCTTCGGCATAGATCTTATAGCTGCATATAGAGGAAATACATCAACCACCGAATGCTAAACCCTAACTAATGCACTTTACGCTAACTAAAAACCAAATCAAAATCTTACGCATAGGTTGGGTTGCGGGGTGGGGGAGATGTACGCAGATGTGTCTTATACAAGGTAGAGACACTATTTCCACAAAGACCCCCGGCCAACAATGAAGTTTTAGATGTTGTGGAATCCCATCTGCTAGGGTTCGATTCTAGTCGTACACAACAATCGTAGCAACTAAGTTTATCAGAATTGATTTCTTGCAATCACAATTTTTCGGGTGGGATTAGTCCTGGCATAGCCTAGGACACCCTTCTAAAAAAACCTATGAAGTTTTAAACTTCCAAGAGTAGAAAATGCCGAGTGCATACAACTTTTAGTTGTAGAATAAGGAACTTACATTCATGTGAATATAGATAATGATTAGCTTTTGAGGTTTCTAGAAATTTTAAACTTACAATGCAGATGATGTAAAAGGAGTTGAAAAACTAAGAACTGCAAGCTAACCACTTCCATAACCACATCACTCTAACTTACCGATGGTTGCACTGGTTTGAAAGCTTGGATTGCTTAAAACCATCCAATTGTTCCTGTGTCCAATTCTGCAATACAATTTCAAAAGGAAAACATAAAGCATAGTTCAATCAATTATTCTTGTTAATTGTCTAAGCAAAATTGGACCTGACGCATGATTAGCGCTCCCCACTGTTTTGTGTCATTACACATGAGCAAAGCTTCTCTAGCTGGGGAAAAAACATCTGGGTTTCCTTTCCAATACGCATACGGATGCTTCTTTTTCCAACTTTGCTGTTGTGAACCTCGCTTAATGCTTTGAAATTCTTCTTCCCAGGGTCCTATGTTGATCTCTGGCCTGGTAAAACATGTTCATTGCAATAATGGTTAGTAGAAACTTTAGTGAAGTTAGAATGACGTGTACTTTAACACCTCAACCCCGTTTCAAGGAAGATGAAGGTTAGACTATTCGTATATATGTAGAAACCTCTCATCTCTCTATAAGGGCTCTTTTAGAGAGAGATTCTAAGTGATTTCACATATACTAGCATGATTTCAGAGCCAGGGTCTAGCACCACCTAGGGACTCAACACACCAGAGTCCAGACATGAATCCTTTGATTCAATTGGCTCTTACACTCGATGTAAATTCCCGTTTAACCTCCGTTTGAGAGGATGTGTTGGACTCCTACATCAGTTCGACACAAATCATCAAACTTGTATATGTGTGTGTGTGTGTACGAACATTAATTCTCTTTGGGCTCTCTCGAAGAAACATTCTATTGAATTCTACATATCCTAACACAAGCAAAAGAATGTGCTACTTGGTTCGCGAAGTGCATTCTCTTTTCACTGAAGGAATGGACACATAAGTTCATTCTTGCAATTACCATGTAAAAAGATGTCAACTTTAATTACATTTGTTTTGCAGCAGACGTTCTCTGTTATCAGTAATCTGACTGCTTATTGCAGTTGTGGGTTCCTTTGGTGAAATGACCTTCCGTCATGTTTTTCTTAATCCATGACCTTCTAACAAGTTTGAGAACATGACCACTTAACCGAAGAATGCCACATCCATACACAAGAATGCCTAGAAACTTGTCAAAATGTCATGGTTCAAAGAACACCATGTCATTGAGCTAAATAACCCGTGTCAATGCTACATATGCATATGAGTTACCGAAAAGGATGTAAGGACTCAAGATTCTTACCAACCCCAAAAAGACCAGTCAGGAAACGGAATGTCGTAATGATCAGGCGTGGTGCAATATCGAAAAATGGGCAAAGGTTTAGTTGATGCATCCTTTTGAATAAGAGGCTTGTCCATGCAATCAAACATCAGATCCACATCTGGAATTCTCCCAGGGTACCTCTTAAGAAGCTGCAAAAGCCCCCATATAGTAAACATCGCTCGACTCTGCACACAATCATAATAATACTCCACATACAGTTTCCCACCAATAATCACAACCCTAAAAGAAGCAAACTTCTTGACTTCCATCAAGTCGGCATAAGAAATGCGGGTTACAGACCACGGATCGAGATCGTGATGAATCCATCTGAAAAAAGTAGGACAATTGTCGGCTTGATTTGTGAAGGGAATTGGCTCATTTCTAGACCTCCCACAAGAAAAATAAGAGCATTGAATGATCTTGGAAGCTCGAGCGATCTTTGTTTCATTGTTGAATTTCTTGGCAGGGAATTCATGCCAAGGCGTTGGTTTCAAGTTGTAACCAACGATGGTTTTGGTCTGCGTAGCCAAGTTGTCCACCTGTTCGACGAGATGCCACAATGAACATAAATTCAAAATCACGATTCATATCTCATAAACACAACTTTTCACAAAGATTCTGAACGTCAGAAGCTTCAAAAATTGCTAAATCCTGTGAAAATTTCAAATCCATTTGAAATTTTGTGAAGATACCTCAAATAGGAAGATGCCAGTGAGAAGAAGAACGATAAGAAGAACACCAAAAAGCGGGACGGAGGAAGGGTTTCGATTCGTTTTCCTTGTAAACAAGCCCATGATTTGAGGTTGATCAACATTTCGTTGTGTAAAATCGATGTAAAACTCGAAGATTACGTAGTTGTCTCTCTCTCTCTCTCTAACAGTTGTCTCTCTCTCCTCTCGTAGTGAGTTTGTAGGGAACACCACGAATTGCCATCCCCGCCTCCTACTCCTGCGAGCCACTCCCAACAATTGAATATTTGTCCTTTTTCGGCCACTCAGGTTTCTAAATTTGCCAAAATCTACCATGTTCTCTAAGAACTTTTCTTTTAGACCATTATAATTTATAAGTTTTGGGGTATTGCTATGTGCGCCCCTTTCACTGTCATAATCAAGTCAAGTAATGCATTGGAAAAAAATAGGTTTTGATGTTGAAGTGCGTGTGAAAAAAATTGATAAGTAGAGTTGTATTTAGCAATGTACAAAAGTGCATTTAGCCTGCTCTAAGTTTTACGTTCTCATTCTGAAAATTGATCTAACAACCTTTTTTTAGGTTTCTAGATATTCTGACCAATTACAATATGTTTTTTTAAATTAATTACTGAACCTCAAAATAAGTATTAGAATACATAGGAATATATTCGATTTAAAAAGATACAACAGTGAGAACAGTTTTAGTCACTTTTTTTTAGCAGCCAAACATTTATTAATGATCAAACAAAATACAAATAGCATTTAAATTTTCAATGAGCCAATCAAGAGGAGTCAAACTAGTAGTTGGTGAAGTAAAAAAACTGAGATTGTCTTGTCAATGTGTGAGCTACTGTATTTCTATACATTATAAGATACTGGATCTTAAACAACAGTCTGGATTGCAGCAATTGCTGGCAATGCTTCATGATTGTTCCAAATTCAATACTATCCTCGTCTCCCCACCTTGTTACAATTACAACCATCTGGGAGTTTGACTCAAAAATCACATCCTCATACCCTATGATTGGTTTGAGCTTGGCTTCAAAGATTAAAAGTACTTGAAAGTCTCAGGTTCAAATCCAAGGAGAAATAAAAAACCCTTGTGGCCACAGAGTTTCAGATGCGATGACTCCGGAATATCTACAAAGCAGGTGGTCGCCCTGGGATTAGTCGGCTCGCATAGCGGGTTGGATATCCAGGTTAATAAAAAATCACATCCTCGTACCCCATGATTACGAGTGTTATATATTAGAAAATGAGATGAAATTGAATTAATTCCTTCTCCTTTATGATGGAATGACCAAATCTTCATGATATTCCATACATAAACTCATTGTAATGAAATTGACCATTTCAATTCCATTGAATCCTGCAAGCCAAACGCCTTCTAGTTAATTATTGTTACTCAAAATAGATAACAAAGAAGACTATTCTAGACTAAAATCGTCAAAATAAATTACAAAGGGGGCTAACAAGCAAATTTTGATATAATGTAGGGGCTAAATTTACGATTAGTTATACTTTTTCCGAATTCTAGTGGCTCATTAGTGTTCTGTTTTTCGTTTCTCCCCTCTTTTCTTGGTCAAAATTCAGATCGCCTTCAACTGCCGTTGACGTCGGCGAGCTGTCGGCGGACGAGACGAGTCCTTGCTCGTCACTCGTATTTCAATTCCGACAACAGATTACAACTTTTATATCTTCATTTTGATTCATGTTTCTTTTCCGATCATTACTGTTTAGAAATCAATCTGTCTAAGAGAGAGCGGTTCACAGAATCTACCCACCGTATGAGCGTTAGACTTGGCCTGAGACGTTCAATTTCGACTTCTCTGGCGAAGACTATGGCGCAGGAATTGAACTCATCTGCGGCGACGATCCCATCGGCGACAGACGCTACTGTAACTCCTACGTCAACGACGAAGAAATCGCTATGGCCTTCTGTTCTTCGTTGGATTCCGACATCCACGGACCACATTATTTCTGCCGAAAAACGCCTTCTATCTCTTGTCAAGTAATCCTTTTTCTTCTTTGACCTTGGTTTTGTAACTTATATCGCCAATTGTTATCATTTATTAATTTACTTGCTAGAATAGTAAAATTTCTTTGTTAATTTTTATCTTGAATTACTAACTTACCAATGATCCTCCACCCTGAATTCCTGAAATAGAAAACATACACTTGTAAGTAATATCTTTCAAGTATGTGTGAAGCTATTTTTTCTTTTTTACTAAATTGTAATTGGATCCATTGACGAGTGTGCAGCCTCTTTTTTGGGTGTTCACTGGAAAGCAGTTTTTGAGCAAATAAATCTGTAAATATGTACATATCTTGGGAAATGGAAGTTTGAGGTCTAATCTCAGACATCATTTGATTATTTTGTTTTGTATGTTGAAGTTTACACGCACTTACTTACAAACAGATGAGTCATGCAAGTTTTTGTTTGTGATCCTGTAGAATACAATCTGAAAATTACAGAAAGGGGAGGCATTTGTGCATCTACTAGCTGTTAGTTATAATACACTTTGATCTTTGAGTCAGAAAGTATATGGGTGGATAGATATGTGATTGTTGTTCTTTTTTTTTTTTGACTGATATCCTGTAGAAGTGCAAAGAATTATTAATTTTTTAGCCCATAATTGTTTTGGATCAATTACCAGGACACCATATACTCAAGAGCAGGTTAATATTGGGTCTGGCCCACCAGGGTCTAAAGTCAAGTGGTTTCGTTCAACCAGCAATGAACCAAGATTTATCAATACTGTTACCTTCGACAGCAAAGAGGACTCTCCTACTCTTGTGATGGTACATGGATATGCAGCTTCTCAAGGGTTCTTCTTTCGAAATTTCGATGCTCTTGCCAAGCACTTCAGGGTGATTGCAATCGATCAGCTTGGGTGAGTTGCTCACAATCCTGGCCTTACTTTTGGTTTCAATTTTTGGACATTAACATTATGTGTGGGTGAGTTGCTCACAATCCTGGCCTTACTTTTGGTTTCAATTTTTGGACATTAACATTATGTGCTGCAAATCTTTTTCCTTCGTATGGTGTCAGAGATGTATGTCTGTTTCATCCAGTCGAAGTTTATATGCCCATGTGTTCCTTCTAATAGACATATTGGGACATAAAATGCCTTCTTTTACACCAAATACAAGGGCTTGAAAAACACTTCTATTATATTAAAGATTCAATTGGTTAATGTGGCCATATGTATAAAAATGGAACTCGGTCTGTGTCTTAAGCGTATTAGAGGTTAAAAGACGTGTGTTCTTCGAACTCACCTTGGCATCATGATTGCATATAAAATCTCTGGAGCTACACCTGTTAAAAATCCTATCCATTTCTATACTACATCATTCAATTTGAATGTCACCTTGAATACCGATTAATATTCACAGCAGGTGTTGAGACATAATGCATATGGTGTGATATTATTCACCATTGATTTCAATGACAAGTGACATGCATTCTTGCTAATGAAATAACAGGATGCTTGGCCCTTGTGGAAGAGAAATTGTTTGTTTAGTGATGAATATTTGATATTACACCTTTCACTTCAGCGCAAATTTTCAGCAATAGATATGCATACTTGGATTGTGGTCATGCATATTGAACTAGGTGTTTGTATCTAACTTCAGGCTACTTTGTAAGAACACCACTTGTAATTTTCGTCTTCTTAGAGTTTGACTTTCACTAAATGATTATCACATGACATGAGTGTTTGATGGCTTCCATGTACCTTATGTCAATTTTGAGCAAGATATTATCATAAGTAGTCTCTTGCATTGTAGTATTCTGGAATAATTTTTTTTAACAAACTTGTTAATGTTAGTAGAAAAGCTGTAAACAGTATTTTTGGCTATAATTTGCGTATAAAAGAATTTATCAAGTCAATAGTTCATTGACCGCTTTTCGTCTATTATTGTAGGTGGTCACTTTCTTCTACTTAATTTCAATTTCTAGCTTATTTCTTTTGTTTTGTTCTTCATTTGGTAGTTGGGGTGGATCCAGCAGGCCTGACTTCACTTGCACAAGTACTGAAGGTTAGCTTCCTTAGCTTGTACTTTTGAATACTAGTTACTTTCGCTTCTTACCAGTTTCTAAGCAGTACTAAATTGGTGAATTTTTTTTGTGCATGCCATCATGAAATTATTTTGCGTTACAAATGAAGTGGGGAAATTTGATGCCTTCTTTTTGAGTGGATATGCTTTAAATGTACTTCCCCAACAACACTCATGTATAGTAGTATTGGTGTACTATCATACAAGTCCAACATCTTGCTAGAAACAAATCACTAGTTAATAGGTTCGTCCCTTTTGCCTTTCGCTTGGATGGGATAAGGAAGTTCTAAGTTGTCCTATCCTATGTATAAGGTTAAAATAAATAGTAGTTCTGTGGTGATGCTTTATTCTCATAGAGGTGATACTATTAATCCTATTATTAGAAAAAAGTAATATGTGCAGTGAAATCTATTGGTTAAGAATTAAGATTAAGCATTTCCACTTGGCCACAGTCAGATGCTTTTATAGACTGAACACATGGCCTAAATTTTAAATGAAATCATTACCTACATGTTGTCTTTTAAAAATATCTAACTATACCACTTTGGCTATATTGTTCTTGACCTCATTTCTCATTAACTTGTGCTTTAAGAATTGCATATGACCTCTTAAAGAAACACTGGGAGTCTATGATAGCATACTAACTGTGGTATCTTTCATAATGCAGAAACCGAGGCTTGGTTTATTGATTCTTTTGAGGAATGGCGCAAAGCCAAAAACCTTAGCAACTTTGTTTTGCTTGGGCACTCATTTGGAGGGTACATTGCTGCTAAATATGCTCTGAAAGTAAGTTTCCTGCTGATAAATACCAAAAATATTAAGAAAAGAACACGTTCTGTTAATATGTAAATGCCCAGAGTTCTTCATTACCGATTCTTGAAACTATTGAAGCATCCGGAGCACGTACAACATCTGATTTTAGTGGGGCCTGCTGGGTTTACATCAGAAACCGAACATAAATCAGAGGCACTTACCAAATTTCAAACAACATGGAAAGGTGCTGTTTTAAATCATTTATGGGAGTCTAATTTTACTCCTATGAAGGTTGTCAGGTAATAAAGTTTTCCTTTGCTATTGCTATTTCCTTTTTGGGCTTTCTCAAAAAGTTGCTCTTTACATGTGGCTATGTCACCAATGTGGGCACTTAAAGTTACTCCTTCAACCTATTTTCATGCTGTTGAATCTCGTTATAACGCCACTATATGTGTATCATGTATTACATCATGAATGGCATAGGATACAAAATTCTAGAAATCTTTTCATGACCAAGAATATGTTTTAGGTTGCATCCATAAAAGTGTGGACTTGCCTCTATATAGCATTGGGCAACTATGCTGTTATATCGGTCAGAATACGAAATATCGGTCAGGACCGATATTCGATATATCGGTGATATATCGGAAATAGCGGTTAACATAATATTTCTTAGAATTATATATATAATATGCATTAATTAGAGTTTAGAAATATAGTTTCAAAATTAAAACATCACATCATCTAAAGTGTTCAAAAACAAGCTAATCGCAAGCAATATGTTCGGCATCCGAGTCAAGTCTTAGACACGCTGGGCAGTGGCTTGGCTCTGTCGTAAGACACGCTGGGCAGTGGACTGTTGAGAAAGTCTTAGATCGAGAGAGAAAAGAGAGAGACCGAGAGAGAAAAGAGAGACGACGTGAGAAGAAGTCGTAGACAGTAGAAAGTTTAGATTCAGACCTAATTTACTAAGCAGCCCAAAAAATAAGGCCCATGGAATAAAAAAAAAGCCCAAATTTTAACCCTAGTAAAAATCGGAATATCGGACCGATTTTTTTCACTAAAATATCGCTAAATATCGCCGATAATATCGTTCCCGATATTTTGGCCGATATTTCATGACCGATTTTTTCCCTTTGAGCGATATCCGATATATCGGCGATATATCGGCGATATATCGCGATTTTGACAGCATAGTTGGGCAATAAAATGAGAACCGCATTACCATGGTACTTATCCAGCCTTGATGGCCTATAGTGCATCTCAGTAAATTAAAGCACACACCATTGACCATACAATGAATTATCTTTTGCCAGATATGGTGCAAAAACCTTACATTGACTACTTAGCAAAATTTTATGCTTCACAGATCGTATAAAATCTAGCAAATCAATGTATGTGAAAGAACATATTGGACAAGTAACATTTCACAATCCATAAATATGTCAAATGCCCAACCAACTACCACATTCATAGAGTATTAGAGTAAATAGCCTAATAAGTTATTCACTTCATAACTTACATTTTCAATCTGCCTGAATTAGTTCACATCAAGGTTAATGTCATTACCATCTTCATCTTGATCATCTTCTAGCATTACCCTGTCAACATGTATAATAGTGGAAGAGGGATTACTATGGAGGTTATGGTTATTCCATCTAGTTGCCTCATAAACCTAGTAAATAAACATCAAATGACATGCCAAATAGGATCAAATCATGTTGGATTGCAAATGGTGTTGGGGTTGAATCAAATGAAGTAGGCATACTCTTCCATACAAATTGTCTTGGGGTTGAATGGTTTTGAGTCATACTTCCTCTATCAAAAATAATTGTCCATATTTCTATTTTTTAATTTCTCCCAGAAAGTGTCCAATTTCAAAAGTATGTGCCCGCTTTCCGATTCTACCCTTAATTATGAGACGAAGAAATTCATTACTCCCTTAATTATTAAGTATAAGATTGTCATTTGCATGATTAAAAAGTGTAATAATTATACATTTCTAAAACTGTCTTTTTCATTATGGACGTTTATTCTTGGGACGGAGGGAGTAATATTCAGATTGTGTGTATTACATGACACCATTTTTCATGGAAGATATGTCCTCATGACTATCATTCTTTTGTACAAAGTAGATAACAAGTTTACTACGTTTATCGAATCATAAGATACCAACTACTACACCTAAGTAAACATCTATGAATACCACTAGAGATCAATTAATGTTTCTTTTGTTTCCATGACAACAATCTTACATACACTTCCCCTTTTTTACTTGATGCATGGGTCAGAAGGTATAGAAGTATCACCTATGTAGCCCAACTTTCTGGTCTCTGTATGGGAAATAATAAAATAAAGAAACTATTGATGAACGACGAGTTGTGATGCTAATCATTATAATTTTTAAATGAAATCAAACATGTGTTGGTGTGTATGTTGAGCAACAAAGCTACACTCATAGAGATTGGAATCTTTTACAAAGAATTCAGTGCTTAAAAAAAGACAATTTTCTTTACGTCATTTCAAGCTTGGGCATAAATATCATCATTTTGTCGACGCCTTTAACACAGGGGTTTTGGCCCGTTTGGTCCAAATCTGGTTCGCAAATATACAAGTGCAAGATTTGGTGAATATTCAACTGGTGAAGTGTTGGCTGAGGAAGAGTCTAGATTACTAACAGGTGATTGAAAATAACCATCTTCACATATGAATATCCCAGAGTGAATGTTTTTAATGGTCGTTTTTCTTATTGCAGATTATGTGTACCACACTTTGGTGGCAAAGGCTAGTGGGGAGTTGTGTTTGAAGCATATATTTTCATTTGGGGCATTTGCTAGGAGTCCTCTATTACAAAGGTGAAGTTTCTTTTCATTGTGATAGGTCTTTTAGTGTTCTCAATCTGGCTTATTCAATTTGTGCAACTTTGTGTAAATTGTGGTTTTAGTTCAGATGATTACTTTTTTTACAATAGAATTATGTGAAATGTATATTACACATATTTAACATTTCTAATTTGGCTTTTGTGACCTCCCCCCTGCTTCTAACAACATTCCTCCTGTCTTTTGGCTGCAGAGCTTCCGAGTGGAAAGTGCCAACAACTTTTATATACGGTTTGAAGGATTGGATGGATTACTTAGGAGCGGATGCAGCACGCAAGAATATGAATGTCCCGTGTGAAATCATAAGGGTTCCCCAGGTCTCTCTCTCATGCACCCATCCTCGTCTGCAGAGACAAATGACTGATTTTGATTTATATACAAGGAGGTTAAAATGAGGAAGGTAAAAAGGTTGAGAATGTGGAAATACATGATGGATCATTTGTAAACCCCAAAATGAAGATGCATATGTGAACCCACTTTTTTTACTTACCTTTTTACCAATTATTCACATATGAAGATGTATATGTAAACCCACTTTTTCTTTTACGAGTGATTCACATATGAATCATTTATCCCACATTCTCAACCTTTTTGTCTCTCTCATTTGAACCTCCTTGTACGCACGGTACATTTTAGGAGGTAATGATCTGATGTGATTTATGATCTGCAGGCGGGTCACTTTGTGTTTCTAGACAATGCAAAAGGATTTCACTCGGCAGTATTACATGGTTGCCGGAGATTTCTATCACCTGCAGATGCTGGTAACTATCCTCTAGAAGAAGGTCTTACGTCCGTCTAATATCCATTCCTCGTACAACCTTGTATCATCTACGGGTATGTAAAATGATATGCTTCACAGATGACATATATATATATATATATATATATACACACACACACACACACACATACATACATACCAATGCCACAACAAAAAAAACTTAAGAAAATGGTGGGCAACTGTACCCTAATAGCAGAATACGATCTGATTGAATGCTTATTGGCACAAGAAGTAAATGTACATAAAACGATTCTATCATGATCTATATAAAGGTTCTTCTACCATTGCTTCCTGATGAAACTCGCTCCATTTTCATATTATTTGCAAATATTACATGAATGGCTGTTGGGGTTATAATCTTATTGATTTATATGTTGTTTAATATCTATTGAAACTCACTGCTTAATGATGCAAGTCTAGCCGATGCAAGACTCTAACACGTCCCTCCATCCGAGGCTAAACGGACATAGATTGTCGAGAGGGGCCTGGACGAGTGCAGATTGTTCTAGAATGTTGGTTTTGATACCATGTTAGAATATGTGGAGCCTTATCAAATTATTCTCCCTCGAGGAGAGCAGATAAGTTCCAACATATATTGAAAAAAAATGGTTAAATTCTACCGGATGTTGATTCTAAGGGGCCGTTTACCAAACACTTACCCTGTACGTGCTTACGGGTGAAATTTAACATTACTATTTACTTAACGGGTAAGAGTTTAATCCACCAAAATGACATTGTATGCAACAATTTATCCAGTAAGTGCTTACCGTGGTAAGAGTCGTCGTCCTCACTTACCGGGTAAAACTCTTGGTCCTTGTATCGCTCTTACCGGGTAAGGTTCTTAGTCTTTACCATATTCATGCGGTGAGGTAATGTTACTTGATAAGCACTTGTCCGGATAAACGCTTGGTAAACGGCACCTAACAAAATATAATATCATGGAGGAGTTGAAACACATGCAGGGGTGAATGAGGATTTTGCCATTTAGTTAATTAGGTTTTATTCTTTTTTTTCCTTTAATCTTGATTTTGGTTCCAATTCAATTTTTTAAAAGGCAAATTGCATGAAAAAGTAACGTACTTTAATTTGATTCTTATTTTGGATAACGTACTTTCAAAACTTCCATTTTGTTACCTAAGATGTAAAGTTTTAAACATTTAAGTACCCGGGTAACTCGGTGAAGACTAATTTTAGACTAAAAAAAAAGACTAATTTTAGATTAAAAAAATCATGTCACTGACCAAGTTAGCAAATAATACCAAGTTGGATATCACATCACTCGCCACATCAGCATGATAATCGGTTAATACTTCAACCAGTTACCCGGGTACTTAAATGTTTAAAACTTTACATCTTAGGTACCAAAATAGAAGTTTTGAAAGTACGTTACCCAAAATAGGAATCAAGTTAAAGTACGTTATTTTTTCATGCAATTTGTCCTTTTCAAAGTTACAAAGATGTATTTAATAGGTTTCACAATATTCAATGATTTATTTGTTTAAAAATATTGTTAGAGACTTGATCACTTAAAACATGAAAATTCATCGATTTTTTTTTTGAATTTTTCCGTGAACGGTAAATGTACGAAATATTAATATCTAAACAATTAAAATCAATGAGTACAGCAATACAAATTTAATTTCATAATCCATTCAAAGAAATGACAAAGTTGATTTACTACAAAAAAAAGGTTGTTTGGTTGGTTTTGTATGAATACATAGCTATGTTTATTAATCCATCTACGTAGATTGAGAATGTTTTTGTTTGAGATGCTTTTTTTATAGATGGAAAAACGTCTTTTTTTTAATTGAAAGGGACAATATTAAAAAAAAAACTTGACTTTATACATAAAAGTTTACTAAATAAACCATGTTAACGTCTTTTATATTATTAAACTACTAATAAACAAACCCTAAAACAGTTGATTTTTTTTATTAAATTGTTTATTGTTTAATAAGAGGCGTGATTGTGATTGAATTCATGTTTCTTAAAATAGAAATAAACGTAAAAGATGGTTTTGTTTCTTTATAACGTAAAAGATGTATCATATTACTGATATTGACGACGTTATCAGTATTTCTTTCATCTATAAGTACATAATAAGTAGGTGATAATGGGTTTTATTGTCTCTTATCCGGGCATTAATGAGTCATATCTCTTAGCCGGTTGATTATATTAGTTAGAGATAATTACGATTATATTAGTTAGAGATAATTACGATTATATTAGTTAGAGATATTTACGGATTTGATTTGATGAAGGTATCGAGTTTTGCAAACTTTCAATATCTGGTTGGGTAGAGAGGATCATATTAGTTCTAAGTAGCATAGTGGACGATAATGAGTTTTATTGGATTTAAGATAAGGGGTCATAATGGACCTTCAAGAGTCTAATCATACATTATATTGTTTAAGTGGGCCATAAGAGGTTTTTATTATACCTTGATAGGTTATAGTTATACCAAGTCAAAGTGAATAACTGGTTTTATTGGGTTTTAATAGATATCATGTTAACTTTAAGGGGTCGTTTACCAAACATTTATCTGGTCTGCGTTTATCGACAAAAGAAATCCCCCTCACTTAACTTATCATGTAGCATTTTTTTTTATCATCAAAATGGATTGTTGATAGGTGTCTTAAGCCTGTAAGCAATTATCGGAGTCATCACTCTCACTTACAGGGTAAAACTTTCGATCTTTGTCTTCCCTCTTATTAAGTAAGATTATCGATCCTTGTTATATTCACCTGATAACGTAGCTGAACCAGTGAGTATTTATCAAGGTAAGTGTTTAGTAACGATCCCTAAGTGATAATGATAAATCTTATTGTCTAATCTTAAAATTGCAATAATCAACTCTTTTAGCATATGGCTGATAATGAAAATCTCAGGATCAGATAAAGCCGAAGACAGTAAGGACAAGAGTACGATGTGAACTATAAACTCTCTTGGCATAAAGCTGTCGATGGTGTGTATCTTAGGATAAGGCAAAACCGAAAATAATGAGAACAAGGATTCAAGGTAAGTATATATTCTAATGATCTTTTGATTTAGACCAAGGTTTATTGAATGATCTATAATTTTGTATGATTTAAAGACGATATATATATATATATATATATATATATATATATATATATATATATATATATATATATAT